GTGTGGGTGAGCGGTTTGCTGATGTCAACGTTGTGGATCGAGTGGCCCATGGTGGCGGTGGGGTTATGGTATGGGCAGGCGTATGTTATGGACAACGAACACAGGTGCATTTTATTGATGGCATTTTGAATGCACAGAGATACCGTGACGAGATCCTGAGGCCCATTGTTGTGCCATTCATCCACAACCATCACCTCATGTTGCAGCATGATAATGCACGGCCCCATGTTGCAAGGATCTGTACACAATTCCTGGAAGCTGAAAACATCCCAGTTCATGCATAACCAGCATACTCACCGGACATGTCACCCATATGTTTGTTCAGTGTGTGTGTATATATATATATATATATATATACATATATATTGTCCTTGTATGCCATAGTTTTCTAGCAAATGTGTTTACGAATTTATTGGTGTGCTGGAGTTTCCTGTATAACTGTATTTACTATAATTTCGCAACTATTATTGCAAATTTTCTTTGATACAAAAATCAAACTCATAAGTGTGAAAAGTACGGAAGCTTATTTCCACCATGGGATAAAAATATAAAAAGGTAATGGCGAGTTTTTAATCTCAGAGTTCAGACTTTTTTTCACAATTTTGAGTTTATAACTCACAATTCAGACTTTTTTTTGTCAGAATTGTAAGATTGTACCTTTTTTATTTTTTATTTGTGGCGGGGGAAAAAAACAGAGAATTGAAAGATGTAAACTCAGAATTCAGGGAAAGAAAGTCAGAATTCTGAGTTTATATCTCGCAATTCTGAGTTGCAATTACCTTTTCTATTTTTTATTCCATGGCAGAAGCAGGAAAAATTGATAGAAAAATTTATAATATATTTTTTAAAATTACATAAACTGTAAGTGTTAAACATTGTAAAATATAAAACAGATGCATTTTAAGTTATGATGAATGGATAATCTTAAAATGATTATCTTAATTTAATGTGAAGACATCTGCTGCCTCTAGTAGTGAGTAATCTTGAAAGATTTACATTTAATCATTTAGCAAAAGCTTTTATCCAAAGTGACATACAAATGAGGAGCACATTAGAAGCAATCAGACCAACAAGAGAGCAACAGTATACCAGTGCTGTGACAAGTCTCAGTTAGTCTAGCACAGTACACATAGCAAGGTTTGTTTATTTATTTATTAAATTAGAACATTTATTCCACTTTGGTAGAAATCACGAATTGCAGTCCGGGGATACCTTGATCGGACCAAAAGGGCACTTTAGCGTCAGGACAGGGGAACGACAACCATGCTTTGACTGGACCTTATGCACTGATACACAACCGTTGTGTATTCAGCTGCAAGTCTTATCCATCAAGAACATTTTTTAACCCTCGGCACCTTCATGCCTTAAGTTGAATGTTTCTATAGAGAAATCCAGTGAGGGTCTGCGACTCATCACCATGATTATGAGACAAATATATGCTAAGGCTGAGCGAGGAGCTTACATGAATAAGCTATTAAGGAAGGGGCACGGGAATATGCTAAACTCAGCTTCTCCTCCAGGCAGGGTCACGATTTCTACCTTAATTCTGAGAGGTGGGTGAGCAAACGGATCATATTCTATTACAAAGTCAGGTCTGAAATATTTTTATGGTCCGTTCTTGCTGTCACCACAGAGTGAGCCTGCATTCTAATTCGTAATGCAAGCCAGGAGAATCAAGACACCTTTGCCCACCAGGACCAGTGATTCTGAGGGTCCTGCCAAAAGAATCAACATTGTAGCTTCAACTGCTTTTGACGGAAGAAACCACAAAAATATATTTTGTTTGAATGTTTTTGCATCACCAAGGAGATTTCCGGAACTTCCTGCACAATGGAATAGAGAGGTCACACACAAAGCCATGCTACTCTCTGTTTCACATCGAAGCCTTTTAATGCCCTTTGACTTCTTAGGTTATTTCTCCTGGACAGGAAAAGCTACATTGTTTTAAATATGGTCAAAGCCAAAAACAGCAGCAGACACTAAAACCTTTTCCAAAATATCTGTTAATTTACAGTTTGCTGCTGCAGCCTTAAAGGGATTCATATATGATAGGCCTCTGTCTTTCTATATTTATAAAAATAAAATTATTTAGAATAAAATTATTTAAAACTATATGAATGTAAAAAATAAAAAAGTGATAACAAATAATTAATTCAGTATATCAGTATTTCAGTATTCAGTATACTGCCTGACAAATGTAGAATTCCATATCCATTAATGTAAATTGTCAGGGAAGAATCCATGCTTTTTAGTATTCAAAAAAGTACTACTGAATCATTTTGTTTATTCTAACTCTGCGTCATTTTAAGTCATGTAGCCTAGTAGTGTTGCGAAATTATGCAAAAAGTGCCAATATCATATTTAATTGTGCCTATTATCGATATATTATCTGTTATCTAAACAATCACTCAGTTCTCTATGTCTTTCTGCAATAAAAATAAAAGCAGGCCTATAGGTCGACTCGGCTATATTATCAATCTTAGTAAGAAAAAGTGCTTGTCGTGAGTCATGTGATGACGACGTCTCTCTTCATGGCGCCGTTACTGTGAAGTTCAAAGGTCCGGACTCCTGTAGGTGTTCATAAACGCCCAGCACACATAAATCAGGCAGTGAGAGGAGCCACTGATCTATACTGTAGTTTAATTTTTACCACATTTACAAACGCAATGGCGCGAGTGGAAGTAACCAATGTGACTGTTTCTCAGGGGCTTCGTATGCTGTTCAGTTTAATGACTCCTAATGAATCCTCATTCACGACTGTACAAGAGGTGCCGACATATGTCAACCAGGTCCGTGTGACATCACTAGCGCGTTCATGGTGGATTTGGGAAAACAGCTGCGAGATGATGCACAGGTTTATACTGTGCGAACTACAGTGTTTAACAACAACAGCACACTCACAGAGAATGTGAGCTTTCGCCACAGCTTACACAAGCTGAGCTTGCATGGGGTGTTTACGTCTTTTACTTCTTCTTTTTCTTCCCCAATGAAACTTGTCTTCATTCCTGTTTCAGCAGGCATAGCAACTTTCTTTGTGTTAAAAGAGAGCGAGAACACATTAGAAACTGTGCAGGAGTGCCATAGAAATGCAGTGTTATACTACAGTATTATGGCATTATCTATCTATCTATCTATCTATCTATCTATCTATCTATCTATCTATCTATCTATCTATCATCATCATCTTTTTTTTTTTGCAGAAAGACAGTGAACTCAGTGATCATATAGATAATATATGTTGTAGTACCCATGTCATTATACACATTTGTGTCCTCATGAACCATATATACTGTACCTGTACACACACACACACACATATATTTATTTATTTATTTATTTATTTATACACACACACACACACACACATACTTAGGACCATGTGATATTTCAGTTTTTCTTTTTTAATAAATCTGCAAAAATGTCAACAATTCTGTGTTTTTCTGTCAATATGGGGTGCTGTGTGTACATTAATAAGGAAAAAAAATAACTTAAATGATTTTAGCAAATGGCTGCAATATAACAAAGAGTGAAAAATTTAAGGGGGTCTGAATACTTTCCGTACCCACTGTATATAAACTAGCATAGAAAGTTGAGCTTCTGCATTTTGTCACCTGCTGGCACCAGTAGATGTGAATTGATGAACTTCAAGTGTGCAAATTTTACTTGCTCTTAATTTTGTTAATCATGTTTCATATGGTCAGTATATTATTGTAAACAAAACATCTGTAATCGTGATTTCTTCAGGGTTTCTTCAGTATTAGTGCTACTGCACTATCAAACTATCAAATACTCTGACATGATGCCCTTTTTGACTTTAATGGTGTCTCCACCCATGTTTTCTAACAACACTTCTAATACCACAGGTTTAAATGATGCCGTAATTGCATATTGTACCTTTAATTGTGTGGTCTCTTAATTTTCATTAACGTGCAAAAACAGTGAGCACCATGCCTGTAACAAATGGAAAACAAGTCTGCCACCTGTTCAGGTTTTTAAGCCCTACAGCAGGGAGCTCGCTCTTTACATTTTAACAGACCCATATGTGTGTTTTTTGGTTTGGCTGCACTCAAATCAGCACATGTTTGTTATTTGAGGTAAAACGCTCACATTTTTACAGGCCGCCATAAACACATGAATAGAGAAATTGCAATTAACCACACAGCAGGAATCCTAATTGTTGAAATTCTGTCACAAACACACACTTGTTAAATTGCCTCGCTCACCATTCCTGCAGAACTTTATTTGAAGTTTCTGTCTCTTGATGTGTGTGGGTGAGACAATAGAAAATCTCTGTGTTTTCTTGTCTCGGTCAATACATGGATTTGTGCTTCAACATTTTAGATATTTTCTTCCATAAGTTTGAATTTGGAGTATAATTGAAACATGTTGTTCAGACTGTCTACACGTCACTGTTAGACGATAAAGGCGAAGTTGAAAAAATAAAATCTCAATAACAAGTGTGTATTAGAAATTTGTATAAAGCAAGTTTAGTTGACAGTACATTTCTTAAAAAACTGTTTGACTGTATTTGTATTTTTGTGTAAAGTTACATGAACCATCCAAAATCTGACCAAGAAAGCTGAAGAAAACCCTAAAATACTAACATCTGCTTCACAAATGTCATTTTTTGTTTCTGGTGAGATCTGAGTCCACAATCACAGCTTTATATACAACAATTAAGAGCCCCTCAACAATTTTCGCAAGCTTGAAATATGTTACTGCAGGGCTCATTTTGTTTCTTAAAAAAAACATGCTGAAAAATGTTAAAATAAGTTTCTCAAACCTATGAAATTGAAGTGCACTTATAGTTTACAAACAGCATAGCTCACTGAAGTTAAATATCTAATTAGATTGAATTTCGTTTTCATCAACTTTAGTTTGTAAGTTTTGTAAGTAGGTTTCATAGCACTAGCAGCTAGAGCTTTGTTGCAGTCGGCGGCCAGATGTTTTCAGGTTTGCGTGTGATAGGGGTTCCCAAGTGGTCTATCCTGCCTCAGTTCACTTGTACACACACTCACATACACACACATACACATGTCCCGTTCCACCTGTAGAACTACTCTATACTGTTGTGCCCCAACCCCCCTCCCCTCCTCCCACTACCACACTCTCAGTTCCGTGTGCATGTGTGTTTGCATGTGAGAAAGTGAGTCTCGGGTTTCACACTGCAAAGAGTGACACGGAGTACTGCCAGCACCACATCTGTTAAGTTTTTAATTGGTCTTTTGTGTTTTGCTCCAGGTTTTGATGGGTAATCCAAGTTTAAGAAATCCTGAAAAACGTCCTTTACATCCAAGTCCTTAAAGTTAAAACTTGCTGGTAAATTATAAAATTGGTGATTACAGAAGTTTAGAGAGTCCAACTCAAGTGGAAACTTCCAATTCCATATTCTCCAATCCAAAACACACTTTGCATTGAAATGTGCACATTTGACAAGACACTTTTATGCAGATTACATTACATTGAAGCTATACATTAATAGGAATGCACAGTACAGTATATTGGTACATTATTGGCCATAGTCACTTGTAGCATTAACATTTAGAATGATTGATTTTAGTTTTTAATGTTTAGTTTGAGTATTTAATTAATTTGAGTTATAAATGATATTTGTGAAATTAATTCTAAATAATACATTATGTAAATAAATTAAATAAATAATATATATAAATTAATATAAGTACATTAAATAAAGGTAATAAAAAATTTAAATATTTATTAATTATATTTATGAAATTATGTGCATTCAGTGTACATTTTTTTTCACTGGGAATCGAACCCATGACCTTTGTGTTGCTATCAACATGCTGGACAGTTTGAGCTACATTGATACGGACAAGAACTGTTAAATATCAGTTCTTGTCCGTATCAATGTGTCCCTATACATTAATAGTTCAGACATTCCTGGGAATTGAACCCGTGACTTTGTAACAGAATGACTCCATACTTATGCAAAGGAAGGACTTTATTTGCTGACAGATGCCTAGTGTGTTAAAGTGGTTTAGTTTGAGTATTTAATTAATTTGAGTTATAAATGATATTTGTGAAATTAATTCTAAATAATACATTATGTAAATAAATTAAATAAATAATATATATAAATTAATATAAGTACATTAAATAAAGGTAATAAAAAATTTAAATATTTATTAATTATATTTATGAAATTATGTGCATTCAGTGTACATTTTTTTTCACTGGGAATCGAACCCATGACCTTTGTGTTGCTATCAACATGCTGGACAGTTTGAGCTACAGAAATGCTTTTAATGTATATCGACGATATTACATTTTAATTTTAGACATTTATTGGTTATCGGCCGCAACATGAATTACTGGCTTATTGATATTTAACAGTTCTTGTCCGTATCAATGTGTCCCTATACATTAATAGTTCAGACATTCCTGGGAATTGAACCCGTGACTTTGTAACAGAATGACTCCATACTTATGCAAAGGAAGGACTTTATTTGCTGACAGATGCCTAGTGTGTTAAAGTTTTATGCTTAGTTTGACATGCACTAGGGCTGTTACAGAAAGTCATGTGTAGCATTTGCAAAACTTGACTCAATCTTTTATGTTTAGATGCAGCACTTAAAAGGTTCCATCAGTGAATTGTATTAACACGGTATTTAAAGTTAGAGTAACTGTTATGTTTGTTTTCATTTATAGCAGGATTTATAATTTTTGTGTTGTAGGCCACACCATATTTCATTGGTTTGATATTATTGGAGATTGTTTTGGGATGGTTAAAGACAGATGGCCCTCGCATCAAGATCAACGACTTCATCACGTCTTTGTCCGCAGGGATGATGTCCCGTCTGCCTCAGTGAGTTGACAACAACTTCCCAAGTGTGAGATTTCCCTCAGATATGAAACACAAGAAAGTCATAGATTTCAAAACCTGATTTTGTCAATAGTCAAATTACAGATAACTTGACTTTACAAAGAGATTATGCAGTGTTTCGAGAACAGAAAGGAACTGAGAACAAAACTAATGTTATTTCATGTTTTATTATGTAACTTAATTCAGCACTTTTGGTGTCTTTCTCAAGGCTCATGATGAGAAGTTTGGAGCTGTCAGCTTATATTTATGTCTGGAACAACTTCCATATATTGGAGCTTCCCTGGGATTCAGCTTGGACGAGGTGGCTTGCGTTTCTTGGTGTGGACATGGGATACTACTGGTTCCATCGATTTGCCCATGGTATGTGAATATCCTGCCAAATGCACTGCTATTATATCCGTCCATCTGCTTTAAAGGAGTTTGCTGAATGTACAAATGGAACATCGTAACATCCCCCTTTTTACAGGGTGTGCTACTTTCTTCTTGTGAATTTTAATATGATAATTTTTTTTATCTAGCTTTAATCTAGCACTAATAGTATTTTTTACACCTTTTACACTATTTTTTGACTGGGAGACGAACTATTCAAATTTTCCATATAGTTTATAGTGATGTAAAGACGAAAAAACAAAAAAAAAAACAATCCATGTGATAAGATTTTGTGAAAAACATATCAAAATTTAGGTCATAATTCACTGATATTCTTGCCGTCCCTCGAAACGTCAAAAATGAACTGTTCATTTTTCATTGTCATACATTAAAATAGCTTCTGGTAATGTTTAAATGTTCTGGAAACATTATTTGTTTCTTAAGTCATATCTGCGGATGTTAGTTTTATGTTATTGCCATAAGGGCTGGTTTGGTTCCATGATAATGTTGTTTTGACCCTTAAGGATCGTATGTCTTGCTACTTTTGAGAGTTCATAACTTGGAAAAGCGAGTAACCGATGACTGTTTTTGATTTACCTCAGACTCTATAGGATTTTTCATTTTCCATATTTCAGTAAACACATTTATATACAGTATAATCTATCGGCTATCCAGATGTGGAAAATGCATCTTAGGTGAAACGCTTTATCTGGCTGTACATTTGAAATATCAATCTGTCAAGAAGTAGGTGATCGCAAAAGACACTTATGTTTGCGTAGCATGAGAGTTCAGACACAGAGCCGTGAGACATGTGTCCAAACAGAGGATAACATTGTCACAGCTGTAATCTTTGAGCGCTGTGGTGTTTTTCTTCTTACTTCAAAAGCAGTCGTCGCAGAACTGCATTGCCAGTAAACATACTTTGTTACCATAGACTGTAAATCTGCTTCTCAACAGCTCTCTGTCTTGAGATGTTGGATCTTGTCCTTGAAAGCAGCTCTCCAGTATGCTGGAGGAGAAGAAAGCATAATCCTAGTTTTGGTTTACCAAAATACAATTTCACAGGCTATTTTGTTGTGCATTGTGCATTGCTCAATACATTTCCCCATGTCCTCTTCTATTACACAAGTAAACATCCACAGTGTGTCAGAGGCCAGGCCATTGACTTCAGTTTCTTCTGAGTGAAAAAGGTAAAAACAGACAAATGCCCTTTGCTTTTGAAGTATGCTTACCATATGCTACACCAATTCCATCCATTTGAGATTTAATGCTGATACGATGGCAGGATGTTTTTCAAATTACATCTCTCCAGACTTCGCTTGGACCCCTAAATAAAGTGATGAGGTGCTTTTGGCTGTCATGTTATGTTTTCCATCATCTCGGGTTCCTGCTCCGAGTCGGAAATGTCATTTTTGTCAGAGGTCTCCTGTGCCCAGTTGGTTCTTTTTGAAGTCAGAGGAAATTATTTGTCTAGTTTTCTGTTCCATCGCTGTCCAAGATGACTTCTTTTGGATATCGTATGGTTATAATTCATAAAAGACCCAGACATAATGGATTTTCTTTTTTTAAAGTTACAGTAGTTTAGCTGCTATACCTTTACAACCAGAGAATATTGCTGAGAAATAATATCAATGGGTATCAATGGGAATCGTAAGAATCCATAATGCATAATAATAATCCTTTCTCCAGTGAAAATGTCCATCTCCTGTTGTCCTCTCAAATCAGTCTCGACCAACATATTTGTTTAATATTGTTTTGGACTTGTATTGGACTTGCTTTTAAACTCTGCGTGATCTGTGCATATTTCACTCCTGATTCAGACTAGATGGCTTTGTCATTGGAGAAAGGAATATTATGGAAGCAATGGTTAAAGTTAAAAATGTCTTATTGATGGATTTGTTTATTACAAACACACATGTTGTGAGTTACTTGCAATTGCTTGTGGATTAATGATTTTATAAGGTGTTTGGACTGTCACTCTGACGGCACCCATTCACTGTAGAGGATCCATTGGTGAGCAAGTGATTTAAATCTAAATTTCTCAAAATCTGCTCAGATGAAGAAATAAACTCCTCTACATCTTAGATGACCTAAGGGTGAGGACATTAAAATGAACTATTAATAATATTTAATAATTAGTAGTATTTTAAGAAAGTGTTATGTTAATTTATCACATTAAAATGCAATACAAATATATAGAAACCTTTTTAAAACAATAGTTTTTTTCAAATATGTTGATTATTTGATGACCAAAAACCAGCACCAGCTCTTTGACTACAACACATGTCCACCTTTGTTATTTCAGATTTCTCTTCTGACCACTGATTTGAGTGGTAAACAGCTGGTGGTCTAATGTTTTAGCTAATGATCCTTGAATAGTTTTCATATTCAGTTTTGGTTCAGTTGGCGCACAGAAGCTTTTATCTAAAGCTCTATTCTTTTGGGACTTGTAAGCTATAAATCTTTATTCTAGCATGAGAAAACCATTTTAAGGGAATAACAGCAGAAATATGACCACTATAAAACTATACTGACCCTAATTAGTGCCATTGTAAAATCTGAAAAATGTTTATAATTTTTATTAATTTTATTTTCACCCACACAAGTTAAGATGTGAAAAGAAAATCCCTTTTTTGATAATATAGGCATGTAGGGATCTGTGAAAATGCCTGTTATATCTGTAATATAAAATCTGTAGCATTTAAAATTTGTATTGTGTTTTTACAGAATTTATCACAGCTTTCTTGAATGACATTTAAAACTAAATTCAAGCTTAAATGTAAGACCAATTTGTAAAGTAGGTGTTTTTCCTTGTCTGAAGTAGCCATTTAATATTGTTAGAAATTCATATCCTCATAAATCAAAGGCTGCGTTTGGTTTTGGTGGCTTTTGATGTTGTCCAGGCATCTGCTTCTGTGTGAGCTATTTGCATGCGTCCATTCTGCTCTCTTCTGTCATTCTCTGTCGCATTTTTTCCACATGTTGCCTTATTTTCCAGTTGCCTGCAAACCTTTATTGCGACTCTTGGTGGTGTTTGGCCTTTCCATGTCTTCCACTATAGTGATGCCACACTCCACTGAAGCGGGGCTGGCTTTCCGACCGCACGGTCTGTTTTGGCAACATGGGCCAGACAAGGTTTATGGTTTAGCCTAGTCTAGGTTAATGGTCTTCTGGATTTTTTTTTGCATCAAGAATTTTTGTAGACAGAGAAATGTATTAAAATAGCTGCAGTCTCCAATGTGCAATAAGCAATATGGTTGACTCTCTACAAGATGTGCTTTTGCATTAAATCAAACAGATATTTGTTGCCATTTTGATTGTATAGTTGACATTTCAGTGTTCTTGAAATAAAAAATAATGTAGAGAGGTTGAATGCGGCTGGCACGCTGACAGCAGTGTTAGCTCAGTTTGTACTGTCGCTCTCATGGAGGCAGACCAACAGTGATTCTGGTCCCCATATGCTACTATTTCCAAAGGGCTCTACCAAAACCTCAGCGCAACCCTCCGTTCAGGAACTCTGAAGAAACCCAATGGGCTTTTGACAGGAAGACCACAGTGGCTGCTGTTGCATTAGGGCTTCATCAAGTTAGTCTTTCATTTCTCAGTCTCATGAGTCATGAGCAATGAAAGATATATGGTGGGCTACAGAAGTCTGAGACCACATTGAAAATCTGGGTTTGAGGATCTACTGTAATTTAAACCTGGAAATAAAGTTTGGGGTTTTTGAAAAGTCTAAAACAAATAAATGTTATATAGAACTAACAGAATTAATAAGAAATACTTCTGCACTTGCTCACCAATGAATCCAGCAGTTTTCACTTCACAAGACGTTATTATTGTGATGTTTTCATCAGCTGTTTGGATTCTCATTCTGATGGCACCCATTCACTGCAGAGGATCCTTTGGTGAGCAAGTAATGTAATGCAAAATTTCTCCAAATCTGTTCCAATGAAGAAATAAACTAATCTAGATCTTGGATTGCCAGAGGGTTCATTTCTGGGCGAACTATTCCTTTAAATTGTCATGTTTCAAAAACAGATTGTAATGCAACAATGTATTAAATTAGATGTAAACAGATTTTTTTTTACTAGTGCCCCCCTAATTTTCAGATTAAAAGTTTTTTTTTCAGTAAATCTTACATTGCATTCCCAAAAGTTTCAGAAGATTGATTTTCCGACGGTAATGCTCTCAGATTGGGGTGCTTTTGATGGCAGACTCGCTTAAATAACCTTAGTTTTAGTGATTAATTTGGCCTTAGGTTGCATTCTGTTCCTCGTAGATGTGTGGCATGACGTCTTTAGATTAATTACAAGTCCTGCAGGTCTTTGGATCAGGAGACCCACTTGTAAGCCCAAATTTTGTAAAGCAACATGCATTTCAAGTCCCTAATTCCCTCTCCTTTTCATTCACTAGAGTCACATAAAGACATTTGAATAATGATACTTTGGGAAACGTTTGGTCCGTCCAAGGAGAATATTGTCCGGGTATACAAGACATGCTTTTATCTGGTGTGCAGTTTAGCAGAAGGGTCCATATTCTGTCGTTCTTTCTACTGTAGTTTGAGGTTTGCTTGAGGTTAGATGTTATAAGTTTAGACGGGGCAGGGAGGGTTATAAAGTCGGAGAGAATCTATAAACAAGTTATGGAAGGCAGTACGTAATGTTACATTCTTTATCACCTCACCCCGTTCAGTGTTTTACAGTGGGAAAGGTGTTTATGGCACTTGAGCCACTGGGTTTTCCAAAACTAAACTTTGATCATGTTAGAAATGCCATTTTGTGGCTGTCATCATTGGATATGCTTGGGGCAAAATGAGTAAATATTACATCTGATGTAACCTTGTAAAGTTGCACAGACAAAAGTTGTACAGTACAGAGGTTTGACGTTATTTGCACATTTTTCATTTGTAACTGGAATCAGAAAAGCCATAAAAAGAAAAAAGGCAGCTTTCTCCAGTAGCAAAAGGTTGCAGTAGCACATCTGTTTACATA